ACCTGCTAAAGGCGATGGATACTACACCAACACTGTCTGTTGGAATTCTAACAATAACATCATTATTGGAGTAGTATTTCACTTGAATCTCACTAATCATTGTCAAATCATTATTAGTCTTGATTGAACCAAGATCAGTGTCAGCGTTGATTACATGTACTCACAACGATGTGATACATGTGAATAGACATATAAAAGGTGATGTTTAACCAGGAGGTGCATCAGTGTCTCAGCTGCCATGGCCGATTCCTGTTGCTGATTTAGGCATCAACTATTATTATATCATATGTGGCCATAGTAATTTGTAACAATGGTGTTTCTTTAAACATTTGTGTCTTCCTCAATTTGTGCATATTTATACAATCACAATCAACCATAACTCTACTGTCCTACAGGGATATTGTGGTATCCAAATCAAGTAATGCACACCCACAGGAAAAAATCCATTCAACCCACAAAAAAGTAGTTTGGTTCAGGCTTTTGAGAACATGACAACTTCATCAAACAAACTGTTCACACCTCAAATGTCAATGCAATTGGTCTGGTACAAGAAGAAATCGAAATCCTTTTTTTACCAAATTAACAAAAATATTCGCTAAAAAGAGATTTAATGAAATTGTTACAAAATGAACAAATCTGATAGAGGCCCAAATAAGGTATCTACATATAACTTATCAAAGCAATCGGGCTGGTAGTTTTCAAGAAGAAGAATTATCGCCACAAAATGAACAAATCTGATAGAGGTCCACTGATGCGGTACATATAACATATCAAAGGAGGTAGTTATTAAGAAGTCATGGGACAGCAATTTACTTAAACGTACAATCTACTAATAAAGCAAATACGTTTGGAGATACTGTTCTAATAAATAAATAAATAAATACTGTATACCCTATTTCCAATGCAGGGTTCGTAGCATTGGGAAAATCCTTTGAAAGTCTTTTGATTTTTTGAGGTCTGGAAAGTCTTTGAGTTTTTTTTAAAGTACAGGAAAAATAAAAAAATCCCTGAAAAGTCTTTAAATTTTGTCATAGTTATTACCCCTGGTAATTCATTTTAGAAAGGCCTGTTTTCTATGCATAGTCTTTTTTTATAAAGTGTTTTCTACCCCAGTTCCAGCAAGTGTCAGCAGTGATTGCTATCCCCGCACCCGCCCTTCTACCATGTTGGTCTAACTTAAGGGTCAAAATGTCTTGGGGGGGTGCAAGAAAGTTTGGGAAAAGGTCTAGAAAAGTCATCGAAATCATTTGGATCTTGGTGCTATGGACTCTGCAATGTCTGATACAGTTTCACCTACATTACTATCTACAGATTTGAAAAACGAATATACATACCGCTACCAGAGCAGCATGCTAGGACAGAGATGTTTAAACTTCACATGGGAACAACGCCCTGCTCTCTGACTGATAATGATTACACACACTTGGGTCAAAAGGCAGATGGTTACTCTGGGGCAGACATCAGTATAGTTGTCAGGGATGCATTGATGCAACCAGTCAGAAAAGTGCAATCAGCCACACATTTTAGAAGGGTAGGTAAAGTTTCATTGATTCAGAAATCAGTGAAAGTATCACTTTGTGATGTTCAATTCACATCATAACATGCAAACACACAACTGCATACAAATTTGAGTTTGAATATATTTCCTGATTTTTTGTTAAAACAACCACCAGATTAAGTGAAAATAGTCTTGTCAATTATCAGCATTCTATTCACTATTATTCTAGTAGTGTTAGACTTATTGATATTGTGTGACTGTTTTGTTTAGGTTCGTGGACCCTCTCGTAAGGACCCCAATCTAATTGTAGATGATTTATTAGAGCCATGTTCACCTGGTATGCCTGGTGCAGTGGAAATGACATGGATGGAGGTGCCTGGTGACAAACTCTTAGAACCTGTTGTTAGTATGGTATGTTTACTTTACTCGTTTCTCTTCTAATGCAATTATATAATTGGTTTATAATGTAACTCGATGATGATCAATCAAATCTAATTCTTCAGTTAGTTTGGTATTAGTATTTTACTTTAAATATTATCCTGTATCTGACATGTCAGCACAGATTGTGTTGACATTATCCTTTATCTGACATGTCAGCACTGATTGTGTTGACATTATCTTTTATCTGACATGTCAGCACTGATTGTGTTGACATTATCCTTTATCTGACATATCATCACTGATTGTGTTGACATTATCCTTTATCTGACATGTCAGCACTGATTGTGTTAACATTATCCTTTATCTGACAGGTCAGCACTGATTGTGTTGACATTATCCTTTATCTAACATGTCAGCAGAGTGTGTTAACATTATCCTTTATCTGACATATCATCACTGATTGTGTTAACATTATCCTTTATCTGACATGTCAGCACTGATTGTGTTAACATTATCCTTTATCTGACATATCATCACTGATTGTGTTAACATTATCCTTTATCTGACATATCATCACTGATAGTGTTAACATTATCCTTTATTTGACCTGTCAGCACTGATTGTGTTGACATTATCCTTTATCTGACATGTCAGCACTGATTGTGTTAACATTATCCTTTATCTGACATATCATCACTGATAGTGTTAACATTATCCTTTATTTGACCTGTCAGCACTGATTGTGTTAACATTATCCTTTATTTGACCTGTCAGCACTGATTGTGTTGACATGCATGCCTATTATGGTTTGATTCAAGAGGGATGACTCGGTCATTCTAGTAACTGCTATAAAAGTCCACTAAAATAGTAGTTTGGTTCACTTTGTTTCTTTTCTTTCTCTCTCATTGCTTACAATTTGGTGTCCTTTAAATGTAAACACAACTTATCTGAACAAACTTTAAATGCTTACAGCAAATAATTTGGTGATGCATTATAATTGCCATATAATCTTAAAATGTTAACGTACGGGGTCATGACTTATGATTGACATTTTGTTGTTTTGTTTTTTTCACAGAATGACGTACTGAAATCACTTGCAAACACAAAACCCACAGTGAATGATGCTGATTTACATAAACTAAAGAAATTCACAGATGACTTTGGACAAGAAGGATGAGAAAAAACAAATTCTTGTAAAAAGACAATCTCTTGTACATAACATATTCTAAATGATCATGGGAGAAACCATTCAGCTTAAGGGATGCTATAATATGTCACCCAGAGAGGGGCTGATCCGCTTGTTTTCTCCACTGATGATATTTATGTATTAACAAATTAGTAGAGTAATAATAGTAAAATAAATTTTGCATAGCATTTTATTTTGAATTTCTTCTTTTTTACCTTTTTTTGTACCAGTAATATGTATCAGCAAAATAGTGCGTGACAGTGCTGGAATCCCTAAATTCTATCAGCCAGAAGTGTTCACGATTTCATAATTCGAGGTCATTTACAAAGACAAAATTTCAGTGTTCACTGCTGACAAGATTTTATGAACTTCCTTGACTCATATAGAAATTTGTCTAAAACGTTCTTCACTGTAATGCATTCTGTGGTCAAAACTATATTTGTATATTCATGAG